GAGAGGAGAGGACATGGTGTTATATTATAGTCTCCTCCGAACTTACCGTAAACTGGAACCAGTCTTAACTAAAACTTGATTCAACAAATGTTTGAAAAGTGAGAACTAGTGAGCAAAGCATGCTGCTGGACTTGTGCCCCTCAGCGTGCAGTTCTGGATGAAAGCTCAAGGCTCTAACTAGAAAATTTCTTGAGCACAGTTCATACTTTAAACCAAATGGAAAAGGGAATGATGGCATGACTGCAGTCAAGTATTGTCTGTAAAATTTCACAGTGTGGAAGTATTAGAACAATATTCATTAAGACTGGTTTTAAGTCTTATTGAGGACTTTGGAGCACAGTCTTGCCCTAGAACTTCATGCTGCTTTGAATGATGCCTGTGTGTAGTCACTGCCTAACTGTGCCTGTAGGATTTTACAGGTTAATTCCTGCAGACAGATTCTAGTTTAAACTGTTCCCATATGATACAGAAATCCTAATCTGCTGCTGCTTTGCTTGGATCAGTGACATTTTTACTAATATAAACAAGCAGGTGTCTGTGCTCATCTTTCCACCTGTCAAATGAGCACTCTAGCACAAGTGTTGCCTACCTTACAGGGTTTGAGGATTTGTCATTTTAAAGCTTTCATAACATTCTTCAAATTAAAACATGTGCTAACATGAGATTATATATTATGTGTTTTAGACTGGCACAGGACTTAGAGCTGCATGTAGCAGTGGAAAATCAAAAGTTTGTCTTTTGTCTGGCTGTATGGCCAAACTTTTGTGTTCCAGAAGAGCCATGCTGTGTCATGTCAGGAGTCGGATCTCTCTTTGACGGTGGCCATCAGCAGGGACCAGGGAAAAGCATAAGAAAATGCTTATGAGTATAAAGGAAGACTCCTTACCAGGTCTGACAGTCTCCTGGCTGTCTGCTGTTTCAGAGCAGAGCTGGCTGCACCTGCACCACTGTGTTCAGCAGCTGGGTGTGGTGTCTCTTCAGCCAGGTGCCTGCTAATTGTTCTCTTGATAGTTCCACCTGCTTGGTCTTTTGTCATAAGGGGTAATAAATAATCATTTTGTGTGCTTGATTCAATATAATTCATGTTTGGATGGATTGAAGCAAATATGTTAAAATAATCTATGATCTGTGGAGCCATGTAGCCCATCCAGTGTTTCTTCATACAGAAGCCATTCTGTACTTCTGGTTGTCCCGTTGCCTGCCTCTGTTTTCATGTTATAATGCATGTTTTCTGAAATGCAGTGATCAAATTGAAGAAAAATATTTGAGTAGCTATGCAGTGTGGTGTGAGAAGGTACAATATGACAGCATAATTGCCTTTTCTGTTTAATTCGCTACCCCCTTCCACAAAATTGCTGATGTTCTTGTTTCCTTTTTGAATGGTTTGGTTTCCTTTTCAACGTGAGAGCACTGAGTCAGTGTTTTCAGAGAACTGTCGCATCTTGCAGTGTTATTAGGATTGCAAAAATCCAACCTGTGGAAGGTGAGCATGCCAGAATCAAGATTTGCTGTGCATTTTCAGAACTCTGGTGTAACTGTATTTTCTGATACTTCCTTTGATTGAATTATGAGAATTTCTTTTAACAGAGGGCATCTGCCTCATTCAGTTCACACAGTGGGTGCAGCTCATTAAAGAAGAGCTATTTAATATTTTATTTTCCTCTTCATTATTCCATCCCTTATTTACTGGATGGCATTCAAATCCTGCTGTAAAGATGCAATTATTAATTCCCTCTAAGCGTTACAGTGCTGCCCATTAGTATAGTTTCTGAATGTTTCACGGGTATTAATTAAACTCAGTTTTCAAAACCTTTGTGTGAAAAGAGATGTCTTTGGTTCTCTTCAGATAAAGAACAAAGGTAGAGAGAAATTATGTTCTAATTATTTTCTGTGTCTTATTTTGGACATCTCATATTTATTTGGAAGCATGCCCAGCATTGTTAATATTTTATATATTCAAATTACAGCTTCAGTTGACTTCAGCTGCTTTGGTAAGTTTTCAGCTCAGAAGTAGATCGGGCCTTGGAATCAAATAAGGCCTTTGAGAAACTTGCAATTAGCGACAATGAATGAAAAATTTTCTTTAACAAATATGCCAGTGGGTCATATTGGAGCGCTGCAGCAAGTGCAAGGTAAGAACTCAGCTTGCTAAGTCAGCACTGAAGTGCCCTGCCTACGAAGCCACTCGTTCTCTCCTGCCAGCCTGCGCTCCTTCACCTTGAGCTGTGCAGCTCTGGCAGGAGAAGTTGTAGCACAAAATAAAACTGTGTGGGGCAGAGGTCCGAAGGGAGAAGGCGCTCGTGTGTGATCATAGAACTAAAGACTGCCTTGGGCCATAGGCACAAAGTGCACTAGACTGACGTGTTTCTTATGAAGTGTATATTGCATACCTATGCATACTGAAGGTGTGGGGAAAATTACAGCTAATGACATGGGAATTAATTTAAGACCAGGATGGATGCTTTCGATGTCTGTTGTCATACTAAACAGAATAAATGTATGCCCATCCCACTCACCGCCTTCACAAAAGATTCTTTTCTTCCCACATTTGGCAAGACTCAAGCAGTCCTTTCAGGATGAACGAGATCTGTTAGAACGAAGTCGTGCATGGTATAATCCCAGTTCAATTGACTGCAGTGTAATTGTATCTGTTTAATGCAATGGACGCTTGGCCTATTTTTAAATCCAATTATGCGACTCACACACTTAATCATTTTGGAATCTCTTCTTAAAGCTGTCTTTTGAAATAGATAATAGCTTGTTTTAGTTTGGTTTTTAATTATAAATAAAAGACAAGCACAGAATGTCTTAGTTATAGGGGCATACTGGTAACACAATATGCCTTTTGTCTTGGGAAGTGCCTTTCAACAGTAGATTTCAAAGCAGCTCAAAAGTCAGTTCAAATTAATTTACCCTAAAGTTCTGTTGTCTTATGTTTCACTTAAATTGAAATGTCTCTCACTATTAATGTGTTTTAGTGCTATTGTGAACTGTACAAACAAAATATTTAACTAATAGGATGTCCTACCTGACTGGTTGTTCGTTGCTGTTGTTCAGACCACATTTATAATACAATTTTGTTTGTCGTCCTCTTTGTAAATGAGTTATAATGCTGTGACATAGTTCTGAAATCTTGATGTCCTTCTGAACAGTTCTGTCGCTTTTTGGTAAGGCGTAGGAGGTAAAGAAAAAGTATAGCTGAATCTGAAGTGAAAATGGAAGCGTTTTCCAACAGGAAATCATGTTGCTGAAATTATTTCAGCAGTAATTGGTGTCCTTGCCATAAATTCTAATTTATAATTGGGGAAAAGCGTCATAGTTTTAAACTCTGTATTGCTCTGCAAGCATAACTGAGTTTGAATGTCTGTGCCTGTATAGACTGGTGAATCCTATTGAAAGCACATTTTTTTGTTGGTGGAACTATTTTTTTTTTTTCTCTTATGAGCATGCTGCTGGGAAAATTAACTGCTTGGCTCATTGCTCCCTGGGTTTCCAACTCTTGAACTTTGTGTTCTTTGCAGTCAAATATTTCAGAGTTGTTGCTTGATAAATGTGAGATAAGTTAATTCAGTTTGGTAGACTAGAAAGGAATTACTGGGGATTTGGTGTGGTATTTGTGATGGTCAGGCGCTGGATCATTCCTTTCTTGTCTGGGAAAAAGAGTTACTATTAGTCATGCACTTCATGAAATTCCAGGTGATCAAGGTGTTTGGTCTGGTTATACTGCTCCTTCCATTTTAAGATTTTTAGTTTACTGCTTTTTTGCAAAGTATTGAGGGGGACAAATGCACTTTTATATAAAATATACACACACACATTTTGCATATATACCTATACATAAGTAACATGAATCAGTGCAATGTTTTTTTCATTTTCAAAAGTTTTGGAACTTTAAAAGTTGTTACAGTATTTTGCTGAGAGCTGATTAAAATTTGCTGCTCCTTTATGGATACAAATTAAGTGGCTAGGCTAACATCTTGTAAATCCCCACACCCAAGCTGTGTACTGAGGCAACTATCTGTGTTTCACCAAAGTTTGTATGTGTTTTTTGAATGTTAAAAGTTAAATTGCTGTTTAACCTTGTGTAAGTTTTAGTATTTTTTTCCTAGTTAAAATGAGTAAATGTTTGTATTCCCAGTAGGATTTTAATGTTCGTGGATGGTGTAATTCAAACTCCACTTAAATCACTGTGGAAGTTCTGAATGGCTTCAGTCACCACCGAGTAGAACAAAAAACTACCTAGCAGCAGTGAATTCAATTGGGGTTTGGGAAACAAAGCAGAAAATTATCTCAAAAAGCTTTCAACTACAGAACAGGATATACGAGTTAAGCAGTATAAGCGTATTCTGCCCAGGTTGCATGTGTTGCAGTTCTATCCCATTTATTTGCTGTATGGTTATTCTGCAGGAGAACACTTGATATGACTCCGGTCTGTATTTTCAAACAGAGTTCTGATATGTTGAGATAGTTTTATATAAATGTTAAGTTTTTCAGGGGGATTTTAAAGTTTTTAAAATTACTTTTTAGTCCTTGTGATTTAATGTGGACAAGCTTCGTGGCAGAGAGGTAAGCTTTTGATACTCTTGGAAGACTTTGCATAGACAGCTCACTACAGTTAGTTTAAGTTCCAGGCAAGAGTTTGTTTTGAGAATTTTGTTGTATTTGTGTGAAGAGTGTCATGCAATCTGTAAAAACAAATCAGACTTTACAAAGTGGGATGTTTTCCTAGTGTGTGCTGGGTTTTTCCTCTCTTCCTTCACTGTGCCACTTTCCTCTCTTCATTTACTCCCCTGCATCCAGCTTTTTACAGCTGATTTTCCCTGGTTTCCAATAGATTAGTAAGGGGTAACTGTCTGATCCTTCAGCTGGCTCTATTTCTGCTATCTCCATGATGCCATGCTCTTTGCTGATGGGACAGTTCGCATCATGTCCATCGTGCTTTGCACTGTGGTACTGCTGTTCACTGTTGCTGATTTGACTGATTTGTTTGCTCTGAACAGGTTGTCTCCCGGTTCTGATGTGTATGTCACAGTTTCATCCATTGCCTTGGCAAGATCGCAGCAGTGCCGTAACTCTCCAAGCAACTTATCGTCCTCAAGTGAGACTGGCTCTGGTGCGGGCACATACAGACAAAAATCTATGCCAGAAGGGTAGGCACCAGACTTTTTTCCATATTCTTTTTAGGCAAGTGTTTTGTTCTCTGTTCCATTTATTGTATGTTAAACTGAAGGAGTGCTTACCCAGCTTCCTGTCAGCTGTTGTTTACATGCATTAAAACATGTTTGTTTTCAAATATCACTGTCATGTTTGTTGAAAGTCAGTTTTAAAAATCCCTTGCTTCTACCTTTTCCCTTTGTGATGTAACCTCTCTCTCATCCTAGTCTACAACTGCTCAGGCTACTATCCAAAGGGACTTTATGTATTAAAAATCTTCATTAAAGGTACTGGTTTCATGTTGCAAATTGCTTCATTTCACAGGTTTAGATTCTAAAATAAAACAACTATTAGGTTTGGGACTTTGCAGTCTGTGCTAATAGTTGAGGCAATGTAGCGTTGAGTGCAACTAAGACTTCAGATGTGTAGGTACCAAAGTGTTAAGTAATCCACAGGTAGCATCTTTTTCACATATTCACAGCTGCCCTGTTTTAAGGCATTCTCTTCCAGCTTTCCAGAAATCTTCATACTCTCTCAAGTGATCCAATGTCAATGTAAGGGGCAACTTGCAGAGGAAGAAATTAAATCTGTATCATCTTCACAGAGCACTGAAAGGAGCAATAAATCAAGCATCTCCAAGTAGGCGAAAAAAATAATTGGCAGCAGAAGAGCTGTCTACCACATTCCCAATTACTTCCTACAGAGAAGATAAAGGGGCAAAACTGCTGATAGTTCACACTGCAAAGCTTCCCTCTGAAGTAATCATGAGTACGTTGCAGGTCATTGTATGTAATTCATTCTGGTTTGGGTCTTTTATAAAGTAGAAATATCTTCTCTATTTAAAAAAAAAATATTAGTAAGATTAAGTACCATTGTCAGGAACTGCTTAGCACAAGGCACTGTCTTCTGCCTGCTCAGGTGCCTGTAAGGGGACACTGTCAGTCCAGACAAAGCTGTTCTGAGCGTGTGTTTGAACAAATGCTGCTGCTCTCTCCTGAGCACTGAAGATTTGTTCTCTCAGTCCTTCTCCTTGCAGCTCAGTGTGAGGTTTTCTGAAGGGGGCACCTCTTCTCTGCTGCACACCTTCATGAAGGCTTTGATTCATGAGACTATCAGGGCTGTTCAGGTTATTATTTAAGTTTGTGCTAAAGTCCTATTGACATTAGCAGGTTTACTCTAAACCCATTAAACTTTGCTGTAAGGAAACTAAATAGAAGTGTGTCCGGAGCTCTGCAGCTGGAAAAAGCACTTAACCCCTTTATACACTGCACACTTACTGGCTCATTCATGCCAGCAGCACTTGTGTGTGTTGCCTTGAATTCTGAAGAGCAGCTTGTGTTCCTAATATCTTGTCTGCTCTTTTCCAGCTACATTATTTGGCCTACGAAAAAGGTATTGCTGCCATATGTCCTTAGACCATCACAACCGTAACTGCTTGAGCAGGAAGAGATTTCGGACACGCTGGGGTTTTTGTTTTGAATTGGCCTCGAAGCACACCAGCACCTTTTCTGTCTTTTAAGTTAATTAAACGCATATGTTTACTACAGCATTATTTTAGCATTTTGCAAGTTCAGCAAAGAAATGTGTCCTAGAAACCTTGCTTAGACAGTTTAATTTGGTGCAAGGAAGCACTGCTTAAATGGAATAATGAAAAAACCAAGTAATATCTGAACTTTGCGTGTTCTTTATTGGATGCTTTTTTTAAAAAAGAAAAATACCTTACTAAACTCTAATTATTGGACTATTATGTTCTATTCTTATCAGAAAAGCACTTTGCCTCCCATACTGTCCTTATACACATGAATCATATTTACTCAGGACTTCCCAAACATTTTCTGCCAGGCTAAATGGAAAGCATGAAAAATGTAATTACGAAGGAAACTTTCCCTTGCCTCAATAAGCCAAGTAATGTCCGTCACATTGCTAAAAATAATTTCAGGTCCATGTGCATCTTCTGCTGAGATTTGTCTGAGAGACCAGATCCAGGGCAGCTCAGTAGTGATGTTCGATGTGCCAGGTAGAGCTGGTCAGTGATGAACTCATATGTGGTGTTAAAATAGGGGAGAGATATTGTAGCATTCAAATGGTGGAGTGAAGGATGGGCTGAAGTAGGTACCTAGCCATGGGGGTACCATATCCTGAAGGTAATCTTCTGAGGTGAGGCTCCAGCATGCTCTAGGTATGCCAGTCCCTGAGATTTCCCAGTGCAGGAAATCTCATCTGCATCATTTATGAATACATTTCTTTCCTGGTGCACGATATGACACAAAGTTTGTGAAACTTGAATGACTGGAAGCATGGGTGCGAGGGCAACCTCAGTCAGATATCGGTAAGAGCAGTAGCTGCTGCCTCTTCTAGATTATTGGTCCATATCCCGAGCTGCGCATAGGCAAAAAATTCACTGCTGTCAAAAATATCCAGATGGGTCTTGATGTATATATGTGTGTTCTGTATACTTATCCTGTGTTTACCTGAAGGTACGTATGTGTTTGCAGAATGTAAAAATTCAAAAATACCGAAATGAGTTTCTTCTTTATGGCATATATGTAAAATGTGTATTTAAACAATTTCACTGTTCTTTTTAGATTGATTTCTCCTTCAAGTTTTCAGAGTCCATTCCTATGTACTCTAATGGGCTATATATTTAAGCAGCATAGAATGTATCACCCCCTGCATTTATTATTCCTGCTTTTAAATAGCTCACCTCATGTCAAAAAGGCAATCTAAATACGTTTCTTGCTGCTCAATTAGTAGAGCAATGATTTCAATTAAATAAAATTAAAAACATGGTGGTTTTGTACATCTCTAATCTTGGGAAAAAAAGATACAACATAAAATATTCCAAATGCAAAATTGACTTATGAAGAGTATGGCGTTTTGGTAAGAGGACAGCACATAGAAAGTAAAACATTGATGCAGCGCAGCTTCATCACACCAAGGTTTCTTAGGGTTTTGGCTTTTTCTTTTACATGCTAACTTCTAGTTATTTTATTGTGAAAAGATATTCTTCCCAAAAACTTTACAAGTTTGAAAATTACCTCAGATGGGTGTTGAAAAAATCAATCAGCTTTTGAAATGTTGTGTTTAGACTTTGTATACATCTGTTGAATTGGTATTGAATTCATCATGTTTAATGTAGGTATTTGAGTAAGTGAAATCCTAGCTAGTCTGTGTGAACAGAAAAGGAAAAGCATTAGTCAATCCAATTTCAATTGTTTCTATTCAGAAGGCAGATATATCCAGGTTTTCTTCAGGGTTTTTTTTTTTATTCATCAAACTGTATGTTGACTCTACCAGGGAGTGTCGAACAAAAAGGAGGTAGAGTCATGTTTGGGCAAAATTTAGAAGGCCCAAATTTCAAAATGTGACATTTCAGAGCTATGCTGCATGTACAGATGTGTTCCAGCTGCTTGTCTTTAAGATGGGAATGGGATTTTGTTGTTCTGGGTCCTATGATGTTTATTTGATGGGTTCATTTAACAAATAGATGAACTTTCAAATGGGATAACCACATGGAGCTTGCTCTGAGAGCTGGGCAGATGTCTGTTTTATGTTGGAGGTCGTGTGGGGCAGTCTGTAGCTAGTAGCGTGAGTAGAAAGCACAGTTCGGGTATTTTATTTTCTGCTGTGTTAGACACTTACAGAAATTCCTTGATATGTGGAGAATATATCAGCTGCTTGTTATTCTTTTGGGTGTTAGCATCTGCGTGTAGAGTTTGGGGGAATTTTTTTTCCTTCAGGGTATGTCTGATTAAAAAAAACACCTCAAATGTGTTATGCTTGATGAATTCTTAATGACTGATCTGTTAATTCTGAAACCAACTATAATTCTTAGACTTAAGTGATGTATATATAATACAGAATTTTACAGATTTAATTCTTACAGGCTTTTAGACATATAAGGCATGTAGACCGGTATGGCACAGAGGCACTGTGTCCTTTTGTCAAGGATTGTTCTCCTTGAGTTTACTGTATCTTTATTGACCTTTCTGAAATGTATCTGACTAGCAGGATTTACAAGCAAAGACCACTGAACAGATTTTTGGTTTTGCTCTGTATGTTTTCTTCTCCAGCAACAGATATACCTCTCGCTGCTTTCCTACGGCTGTATTTAGTTTACACTAGTCCATGCAAATTATTCTAAGATAAATAAGTTAATATACAGAATTTATAACCCCCAGGTTTTGGGAATTCATAACCAATACAGTTAACTTTTTAAACAATTAAAATATTTGGCAGTGTAATATTATCCCAAATTAATCTGTGTTTGGATATATGTCTGCATCCCCTAGGTGTGACCTTACTAGCCTTTTGCTCAGAACCCAAGAAGGTGGCTGAGATCCATGGCATTGTCCCAACAAGCTTTCTGATGCTCACTTTGACTAGTTCGAAGCAGTGCTTTCCCAGTTAAAAGTATCTATCCTTGATATCTTTTCTTGATAAGCACACCTCATGTCCCTATGTGGCTTTTATCCAAACTTTTAAGTTTTGCTCATTGTGGTCAATTTTCTGTAACCATGTAACAGTCTAGTCACCTTTCCATGTAAACATCTATGTAAATGAAAACTAATAATTTTGTTTCTGGATGGTTTGGTCTGGTTTTTTAATTGTATGCACTGTAACCAGATGCTCTTTATCAAAGATGCTCAATAAATTGATGTGTACTGTAATTTTATGTGTTAAAGGTGCTAAATGGGTCCTGAGAGCTGACACAAACATTAAATGGAAAAGCATTATAAATCCCTCAAGTGGTCGTGCTGTGCATTGGTCTGCCCTGTTGTTTGACACTAGCTTCTTAAATGCGCTCTCTTCCCCTTTTGTGAGATTTATGCATATTGAAAAACCATTATCTGCTTTGTTTTTTGGGGTGTTACAACAGGTTTGGAATTAGCCGTAGATCCCCTGCTTCCATTGACAGGCAGAACACGCAATCAGATGCGGGTGGTAGCGGCAAATCCACGCCCAGCTGGCAAAGAAGTGAGGATAGTATCGCTGACCAGATGGGTAGGTAATGAATTCTTTACAATGACCAAGTAGTGCTAACCACAAGGTGACTTTGGCAATACCTCTCCATGCAGAGAGAGAACCCTCTTCAACACTGTGTTCTCAGTGTCTTTGAAAGTTAAAGTTGTTCACCAGGATGAATAATTAGGTCTGGAGCATGTACTTCTGCAGTCTGTTTCCTTGAGACCTATGAGTATCACCTGAGGAAGAACTGATTTCAGTTTTTCATTTGATTGTGAGACTAAATCTGCCTTAATGCTCTTACCCTGAAACCCACTGTTCTTTCAGAAGCAGTTGAAGAGACACACTTATTAATTTGTCTTGCTGTTGAGGACTTGTTTGACCTCACCTGCTCTCCCGAGTGACTTGGCTTAGTTTAATTTTTGCTTAGTTTGTCTAACGTGCTTGTGATGCACCCTTTCAAACAGTGCTGTATGAATGCAAATTGATTGTTTGATCATTGAAGCTATAAAAATACTGTGTACAAAATGAAAAAAATGCAATTAAAGTTTAAATAGTGAAGTAAATCTATAGCTTGGTAATCGCCTTCCACCAGTGCATATATTTTCAGTGCACTTCGCAATTAAGCTGTCAGCTTAGGGAACATACTAACTACATAAAACAGCTGGGTACTGAGGATTTGCATTGTTAAACCTTCATCTGAAGTTTTTGCATATAGACCTTTTGCTACAGCTGTGGCTTGACTTGAGTGGATAATACCGATGAGATTGACACCAATGGAAATGTCCTGTCTACAAACAGCATTGATCCAACATGATGACCATGGTCACGTTTGCTAGATTGGTTTTTCCTAACTTTGTTACCATAGATTAAACAATTCCATACTTGATTCCCGTTGCACATATAGATCATCATTTTACTGCATCACAGCTTTTGCCATATAAATGGACTGGTGCTGAACACAGAATAAGGTTCAGTGTGATCAGCAGGAGTTTAAGGCAAATGCCAGCCTCAAGTTCTGGAGATGTACTTTGTTCACTTACCTTCACAACCTCAGAGATCGTGCCTTCTTATTGAAGCCATCTGTCAGTTCCTCCCTCACAACTCCCTCCATCCTTCTCACTGAAAAGCTGTGATTATGCTGATCTGCAGTTCTCATTTTGACAGAACGGTTTTTAATCACATATGTTTTGATAACTGTGTAAAACTGATCTGCTCAGCATTACTTTTGCAGACCAGTAGTTGGGTGTTGCTTCTGGCACTGAGTGGATCTGCCAGCAAGTTCTGTTCTACAATGTCAGGTGTCACCATATTAGCAAAATAAGGCCAAAAAGAACAAGAAAAAATGTGTGGTAGAAGAGATGGCTCCAGCATTTGGCAAAGGCTGAGAAATGCATACTGACATGTAATCCCTGTATTTTATCCCTTGTGTATTGTCGCAGTTGGAAGTTGCATCTCTGACTGGAGACTTTACTGCCAGTCTGGTGAATCTAGGTGAAAGCTTGATTCTATGACAAATAAGCACATTTCCACTTAGGATAATCTGTCTCAAGGTAAATAAGGCATTAGGTGCAGTGAATCCATACACTTGCTCCTTCCTGGACCATTCTTAGCTACAGAAGACCTTTGTTTTGTTCTTTGTGCACCAACACTGCTTGCTACCACTTGCTGGGGGAATCAAGGTTGCTTTTTTTTGTTATTATTATTATTATTTTATATCTTAAAAAGCTTTTTGTTTGTTTTTTTAAAAAAGCTAGTAATGCTGCAGATCAGGGTGAACAAACTGTAGCTGTGTTAGGGAAAGCACTGCTAAACACCATGGGTATTGTTAAGTATTTTGTATTCACAAGCACATATTCTACTTAAAAAGCAGTGGTTTTAGAAGTGCAGAATAAATATTGTGTAACCACAGGAGAGAAAGAAGATAAATGTAAAAAGTCACAATGGAGAGAGATTGTTTTAAAATGCTGACCTTGGGCTCTGAGAAGGCAATTACCCATGTGACAGGCTGTGTCTGAACACCCTCTAGACCTCCATAGTTATCTCCTGGGAAAAAATATGTTTAATTGGCAAAGAGCACTCCTATGAGTGCCCATGTAAGACAAGTGATTTGAATTCCACCCCTCTTTGTCAGATTTAGTTTCTTTTGTACATCTATGTGGTTTCTACATTTACAGCCATCAATTTTTAAGGGCATGTTGTGATTTCAACAGATTTTTGCTGTCTCTGAAATAAGAATCATAGAATCATTAGAAAATGTTTAACTCACCTTAAATTTGACAAGAAATGTGTAGTAGTTGTACTGGAGAAAATGTGTTCATTTCAGTGATCACTGTAGACTTCTCCTATTGTCCTGCTTTGCGTAGAATACAATTCAAGGAAACGTGGATCTTCAGTTTTTTTAATCTTTTGTCCCCAGGCAATGTGCATGTAGAGGTACAATGTCAATGCACTGTGAAAACAAATATTCCGCAGTTTTAATGCTCTGGTATAGTGCTGTTAGACAACAGGGGCATGATGCCATTCGGGTTCTAACAAAAGCCAGGATGGTGGCTGCTGGTTTTTCATTAAGTCTTACTGTTTTACGCCAGGCAGAAATGGGCCCTCACTTTCTCACCTGTGTTACCTCACAATATGTGGGTTTTTATTTGAAGTGGATTTTGTATTAGATGTCCAAAGTTTTGGGCTAATGGCAGGATTGGAAGAATTGTGGTGTAAAATTAGGTTATGGACTTTCTTACCTTGTCGCACTGCATATGCTCCTCAGTACATCATGGTGTGCTGTATTGCAGAACCAACGTGCCATCTCCCAGCAGTATCAAAAGTCCTGCCATCCTTCAGAGAAAGCCCCAGTGGAAGACTCATGAGACAGGATCCTGTGGTTCACCTGTCTCCAAATAAGCAGGGTCATGTAAGTTATCCTAAAAAAGGAATTATTTAATGTTTTGCTTTTGCTCCACAAGCTCTTGATACCAAAAGTGTTGTTCAAAGTTATCTTTAGAGTGTAATTTAAAAAAATAAAGGAAAAAATCCTCAAGCCCTGTTCCCTACTAGAACACAGAGGAAGCAGTAGAGCAGACCTGTTAGTTTCCTGAATCCTACAGAAGCTGAGCACAGCCTACCAAAATGTTTATTAGTTAATAAAGTTTTGTTGCCAGTTGAACAGCAACTTCTTGTCTGTTATCTTGTGATAAGTAAAGGATTTGTGGGAGTTTACAAAGCTATTCCTAGGCTTCACATGTGAGACTTAAAGCTTAGTAATACATTTTGTGATGCAACACTCAGAAAGCTGCTGCTTTGAAATAGAATAGAGATCTTGCTTTTGGTTTTGTATTTTCTCCATTTTCCTCATCTAGTGTAACTATTACTTCTTTTCCATAACCTACCTTGCGCACTGTTGAAAGACTTTCAAAGGTCTGCTGGAAAAAAAATATATCTTTCTTGTTTTATTCATGTTTACAGTCTGGTAAATTCTGCCTTTCTGTTTCTGCAGAGTTAGATATTCACACCTTTTTGGAGATTATCACTTCCTGATTTACGTACAGAGATAAATGCAGTAATGTTCATAAATTTAAAATGTCTTAAAGTCACTAGAACAAAAAAAATACACCCTTTAAACTTGGTACCCAATAAGCTGTATCACTTGTTTTTTTGATTTATGAGTACAGTCAGCTAGAATAGAGTTGTGCTCCATGATTATACTGAAAGTATTCGTTGCATTTATGTAGGTGTGAGAGAGTCTTTACTTGGTTCCTGCTATTTGCTCCTTCTTACCAGTATTCTTTCAGTACAGTTGGCAGTGTTGCTTTTAGGTTATTAATTCATAACACATCTTTATTACTTAAATAACCAACACAAAAAAAGCTAACACCACCACACCTGTCTTCATATTCTTAGGAGCACAAACTAGTTTTTATATTTAGATTGACCTGCTTTCCATGAGATGTATTTGGCCATATAATGATGGAGTACATAACTCATTAGCTTACGTGCAAACTGCAGCACTGGAATTATTAATGCTTGCATTCTTCTCATTTAGTCATTGTTAAAGTAAATCTTTATTATGTGAACAGATGGATGGGGGAGGGATGCTGTTCCTAATGAAGAGCAGTGACTATAATTGGAGATAACTAGGAACCCAGATCAGTTTACTTAATACTCCTTGTTTTTCTGTCAGTTCTTGATTTAGTATAACAAGAAATGTGAATGCTGAGATTTCCATATATCCGTTCTCTATTTTCCCTCTTTTTCCAGTGAAAACAGAAACAGTATCTAATTTTTTTTTAATATTTGGCTGGGATCTCTGTTCTTGCCTGTTTTGGTAAAATGCCGGGGTAGACAAATAGGAAAGGTAGTTCTAAGTCTCCTTTCCATCCCTTCCCTTATTCCTAGGCCACCTGGTCACCAGACAAGTCCCTTGTCCACTGAAAAACTGCTTCAGTTCTGATTATATAGATGTCCAGAACTTAGATAAATTCTGTAGATGGAAACTGAAATTAAGGAATTTAGATGGATATAGATACCCCAAAGGTAGGTTAGCTACTAAGCAGTGATGACTGTATGGCAAGAAACTCATCCTGTAATGGGATGTTCCAGCAATGCCCACTATGGGATTGAGGGCATTCATGTCTTTGTAAAAGCTGGCTGTAACCAAGGATGGAACATACAAACCCGCCAGATGCTGGCATGCCCTGATGTGACAATTTAAAAGCATTGCATTAAAGCTTCCTTTCTGGCAATTCTGCCTTTTGGAAAACATTTTCAGATTAGTTAAATAGCGTGTCAGTGGTCATTTTGCAAAGGACAGTCAGGCTTTCCTGGAGGAAGTACACCCTACGCCAAAGGGGTAGGAAGAGCAGTGGTTATTTTGCCCTACTTTAGCCTTTTGATAGGCAATTGGATCATTGTGCTATCTATGGACAGTTATGTTTCAAGTTCTAAAACATTAGAGTCTTGGAGTATTTTTAATTATAGTGGCTCTAAACCAAGTCCAAGTCTACACAGCTCAGATGATTTCATTAGACTGGGCTGTGCAGAACTGTGCTTGAAAGGAAACAGTATAAAGCATTTTGGGACAAAATATAAACAACTCTGGCTTTCCCTGAATAGTTAGGATGTGGCTTCCAAATCCATATGAAAGGTTTTTATGTGCACACAGAACAGAGCACATGCATTGTGTTGGAATGAAATTTTTAGAGTTGATTAGTCTCCTCAATGTATCTATCCAATCCCTCAAGGCAGAAGAGCTCCTGTTGTGGTGACTTTGGTAATAGTTCATTTCCTCCTCCTCTTTATTGCCATAATTCAGAAATAAACCTACAAGTCTGGGTTTTTTGGATTGTTCTTTCTTCTGTAGTCTGACAGCCACTACTCCAGCCATTCCAGCAGCAATACTCTCTCCAGCAATGCCTCCAGTGCTCACAGCGATGAGAAATGGTACGACAGTGGAGAGCGCACCGAATCGGAGCTGAACAGCTACAACTACCTTCAAGGGACTTCAGCTGATAGTGGCATAGACACCACTTCCTACGGACCTAGCCACGGCAGCACTGCCTCCCTGGGAGCAGCAACATCTCCCCGTACAGGGCTGACAAAGGAGAAGGTGGCACCGCTGTGGCATAGCTCCAGCGAGGTGGTCTCCATTGCAGACAGGACACTGGAAAAAGAGAGCCACATAGACCGAAAGAGCGAGTCTTCACTGAGCCTGGATATTCACAGCAAGAGTCAACCAGCCTCCAATCCTCTAACGAGGGAGAACAGTGCTTATAGTCTAAGTGATGCTGTCTCACATACAAGGTAATTTTCACCTTTTATGAGATTGACCCTTCTGTATTCATTTTCACATTCTCACTTTGTGGCCTATTAAAAGTGAGAAGTGGATGTTGAAGCGAGGTTTCTATTTATGCTAACCAGGGTTTTAAAAGATCTCACTGTGCAGAACGGTTGAAAATTAAGAGCATCTTTTAGTCTTTGCATCTGCTGCTGTTTATAATACTAAGAAATGTCTTTGAGAGCATATTCCATATTGTTGCTACTAAACCAGCATAAGACAGACACGTGTCTGATGTGTTTATAAGGAGTATCTTGTGAGAACTGCAGTTCATATATGGATCAGAAAAGAACTGTCCATTTTATTAATGCGTATAATATTTAATGTGTGTTTAATATGGGGTTCATTTTTAAGTGTTGTACTTATGCATTTCAGACGTTTCACATTTTTTTCCCCAGTCTTTTTGTTTAGAAATCTGTTTGCAGTCAGTATGATCAAGACTGACTGCAAGTTTCTTGGGAGTGCTAGCATGTAGATTTTAATCTCATTCTGCTGCAAGCGTGTGGGTATGACACATTACAGTCACCTTCTATCTCTCCCTCGGTTTTGCCACTTGTAAAATTGGCACTATCAAGTACGTGTGTAATGTGCTTGAACACCTCAGATGGAAGATACCCCCTTTACAAGTTAATCAGAGCTGCTAGAGGCAGAAAATATTTTAGACCATTTTCCTAGCTGGTTTCCCAAGAAGTACTCACTACCCTTTTTGAAAAATACTCATACTGTGTCATACTAGCAACAAGAAAAAAACCACAACTCTTCCAAGGAAGATGTGTGGTCATCGTAACTTGTTGGCCTTGGCAAAGCCTGACTGTTGCATTTGTGTTCTTATGGCACATCTGTTTTGATTGTGCAGCTAAAATACCTACAGGCTGGAAGTCTGAAGCAATTTTTGGTAATTGTTTTGAGCAAAGCTGCATTTATGCACAGCTAGGTGTTTATCAGACAGTTTAACAACCCCTCATACAGCAGCTGCAAATAGGGGTTGCCATAGAGACTGTAATGTAGTGAACGGTCTCCATGTACTTCGTCATGGTAATTTGGACTTGGTGATCTATTAATGGTGGGCCCACTCTGGTTTTCTGCCTCCCTCGGTTGGCCATTTTTGGCACTGAAGCTCCTATTCAGTTGGTATGTTTGTAGTAGCTATGCACACATGAAGGACTTGAGCAAGTCTGTAGGAGACACTATGCAGAGGGATTTACGTAGATTTTGGGAAGTGCTAGCATGGGCCCCTTTGAAGGTAAAAAATCTGTGATTATCTACAGTTTTCTCTCTTATTTTAAGCCAACTCTTGGAAGCTTTATTGTACAAGTGTGCTTAATGGGAATGGCGTCTTTGTACATTTGAGGTACTGACTTCCTCTTCTGTGAGCACCAAATAGGGTTAGTTCAGTAGAAAAGCCAAGAAAATGTAACAGAAAGAAACATATCTTCACAAGGCAGGCGTACCCCGACAGCTGTCATCTTGTCTTCCATGGATGTACTTTGCAACTTAAGTCTAGGATGTTGTCTCATTATTTATTACAAGATATCATTTTATCTCCAAACATGGCATTTTCTCTGATTGATTTGAATTAACTTCTGTGATGTTTCTCTGATGATACTGAAATGATTCTCTACCTGTTTTTTGGGGGCTGTTACTAAAATTTCCTAGGCTTTATGCTGAAGAATGCAGTTGGTTTTTTTTCCCAGTTTCATTTAGAAGTTAGATGTTAAAAATGCATCTCTTTGCAAAGAGGAGTAGTAGCAATTTGTAGAACACATGGGATGCGATACTTGAGAAATACTGCAATCCTTGCACCCACACAGTTTATTTTTCTGGAAAAACAAAACAGCCTGACTTGTGTTCCTTTTTTATTCCTCCTTAGTTTTGAAGAGTAGAACATGTCTGATGCCTCACAATAAAGCAGGGGCATAGTCTGGGCTAAAAAGCTTTCATTTTGTTTCTCATGGTGTCCTCAGTTGGTGGTTGTGCACTCAACAGCAGTGCTGACCTGAGGAAACCCTAGGTCCGGCTGTTTGCTCCCAGTTTCCCCATAGCTCTTTTCAGTGGAGGCACAACAGCCTGGAGCTGGAGGCTTGTTAAACTGGCATTTCCAAAGTGTAACCACAGCTGCCTGCTTCAAAGAGATGAAGGAGGGGAGACTGAAGGATGATTCTGAACAGGCTACTTTTCATGAGAAATGAACAGCTTAATTGGTGTGTTTCTCTATCGCTTTCCAAATTGTTATCCTTTGTTGCTTCTTGCTTTTTTACCTTTTGCCCGTGAATGCCAGAATGCCTGTAACATCTTTAGAGTCGGGTGTCTGAGCAAGAAGAAAAGGAATTTGGCCCTAAAAAGAACTCAGTGACAAAAGAAAAGAAAATAACCACAAATTAGAGTGTTTGCGTCTGTAGAAGACAGGAGCGATAATTAGTGTTCAGATCATTTGATGGTGCATAAAAGAACTTGTACCTGAGAATTGGTGGCAAAATGTAAATTATAGTGATTAGCTTTTACAGCAGAGTTCCTGGCTGGGTTTTATTTTTCTTTTCCACCCCCATTCCCAAAGTCCTTCCTGATGATTGTGCAGATTTCTCATAGCATCCCAGGAGAATTCCATTATGTAGGCCAGTAATTATACAGAATCATTATAGCTGAATGTCATTAAATGAAGCGATATGTGCTGATGGCATGAATTCCCCATGAAAAAAATAAAATTAAACTTTCATTTCCATCTAAACTATACAGTTTCTTATAGTCCTCTTACCAAAACTAAAAGGAAAATAATTATTATTTCTAATCAAATATCTTTTTCATTCTAATAATTCTAAGATACTAAACATTATTCAGTGATTGTAGAATACTTTTATGAATGGCTCATTTGCAATTCTTGCAGATTGTCATGTAGTATTTGAATTTTTTCTTAATTTAATTCTTGATGTCTCAGTAATTGGGGTGGGAGATGGGGGACCAACAGTGGCCATCTCTCTGTCCTGAGAATACAAGGACAATTTATTCCAGGTACAATCAAGTTGGTCCAGGTGTCTGTTACAGTATGAGGAATCTTCTGCGTGCTTCCTGGTGTCGAATACTGTAATAACCTACCATCACTACCGTAGTGCTCTAGTGATGATTTTTCTAGAGTTTATCCAAAGCCTTTTGCTCTTCAAATATGCTTAACAAGTGTGTGTCTTTACCTGTCAGTATCCCACTGACCTGCCTGTGTTTCCTTCTAAAAGCTTCTGTCACATCCACAGTTCTGTGTATAGTTCCTGAAGCAGAATATTCTCCCAGAATACTATTTTGTAAAACCACAGCTCAAAATATACAATACACTTAAAAAAAAAAAAGTGTATTTAAAACTGTATGCTGATTTTCATGCTCATTTGCCAGGCTGTTCTTGGCATATATTATGATACATATTATAATAAACATTAAAGTAATAATACTTTAATACTTAAAATATACAATGTGTATATACAATGATATATAATAGAATATTCTAACTTATTATACATATGCATGTTACATGTAAATTTTATGTAGGACATATTGAACATAATTTTTTGCTCTCTTTGCCTAGTAATACTAAGGATCAACACTACTGGCCTATCTAGGAGTTGTTGTTAGTTTCTATCAGTAAATGTTTTCTTACAAGCAGCGCTTCCTTGAGAACTACATGATGGATTAAAGAATTCCGAAGTGTGATCAGAACTTCCCTTTTCTTATACTGAAGCAGAAGACTTCTCCACTTCTCGAGTTTATTTAGAAGGGGGTAAAAATTTTTAAAAAAATTTAATGGCCCTATAAGTTTTCTTTAAAGATGTGTGTCTTTCCCAGACCTTGGTGTTTTCGTTTTGTGGTGGTGATGCCTCACAGATGGGCTGGCTTACTCAAGATGTGTAGGAGTTTTCTTTACTGCCTCTTCCCCTAGCTCTTATTTTTTTTTCTACTTTTTTGTTATAAATTATATTTACTTATATCCATTACAGATACCAAGGCTGTGATGTGCAGTGCCAAATACATGGGTTTGATGGACAGGAAAAATATCTTCCTATATTTCCCCAATCTGCCATTTTCTGTATTGGCTTTTCAAATGTACAGATGGAGGGAAGGGAAAAAAAATTCTATAATAGAAAATCTGTATTATTTGCATACATATGGAGAGATGCATCTTGTCCCTGATGTGAGGGACTTCCCAGCCATCCCACGAACATTAGATGGAAGCATGGGCTGCAGCAGCCAGCGGTGTTTGCGGTGGGACAGTCCACTCAGACTCCTTGTTAAATCCACAGCAGTTAACTGTTGGGACTCATGGTGCTTAACCTGAGCCGTCTGAAACATAGTTGAATGTGATTTTTTTTTTTTAGACTCCATCTGTTGTCAATGGAGGGAGAGGAGAAACTCCAAAGCATTCACTCTCCCTGTGTATCTGAGATACCTAATTTCAGATGAGGAGAATCATCTCCTGAGGATATTTCTCCATTGATTACACCAGGCGAGTGCCAGACGAGTGGCATAGATTGGATAACTGAGTATAAGGCTAAATGTAGGTGACATTATTTTCCCAGGTGGCAACGTAAATTTAACCTTAAACTCTTTTTCCTGTTTCAGTAAGAGAGAAAGATGGGAAAATGCATTGTATTATCAAGATATGAAAGTAGTGGTGAAGAATTTTCTATTAAGCTAAGAAAGAAGAGATTATTCGGTGACTTTATTCAGCATTCCAGCTAATTTTTATTTCTCAGTCAGAAAGTGTTCCTTTACCACTGGGCCATCTGTTTCAAATTTCTTTCCTTGCAGTCAGAACTACAACAGATACAGGGATGAAAATGTAGCAGAGTTGTGTAGAGAGCTGATAGAAAACTGGTCTCCAAATATATAATGTTATTTCAGTGCTAAGGCTGTATACAAAGTTTTCCTGTAATTGTACTTAGAAATGCCTGACCTTTTGAGGTGGTTATAATATTTTCTTAAACCCTAGTGCTCCTGATATTATGCAAGTTGCATCGTAGTTGAATATCAGCATAACTTAAGAGTAGCTCCCATCTAAAGCCGCCCTCCTTCCAACAGTAAGCTCCAGTTGGTCATCCTGGCTTTTCTTTTTGTCTAGGCAAATTGTGATGTATGTTTGAGACCTGCTCAAACTTCTCAATTTAAAGTTTGTTTTGTTTTGGTTTTGTTTTTTGGGGTGGTTTTTTTTTGCAAGTGATAACTGCTTTTCAAGCAAAATCCAGGAAGCCCTCTTTTAATCAATATATGGGTTTCTTCTTTGCTTTGTTGTGGTGCCTTGAAGAGATGTTTCCTGTTGCTTAAGTTCCTTCAAAATATGTTTTCTTCCACAGACAGGAATTCCAGCAAGAAATTGGACTTGGGTTCTTTTTCGTTAATTCAGCTGCAGTCTCTTCTATTACTTTTAAGCTGCCTGATGACCCTGAACCCTAGATTTCCCATTTGTGAAGGGGAATGAGGGAACGGTGGTATATTGCATCCTTGGAGGTTGCTTATAGAATTTTTCATTACTATGTGAGATGTTTTTAATGCAACAGTGGCGGAAGGCCCTTAAGAAGAGCGAACTGGTTTTGCTGCTCTACCCTCTATTGATAACATCTTGTGCCCAGAGTTCTGCTTTACAAATAGTTAAACAAGGTGCATCTATACACATTTGAGGCAAATTTTGTCTTTATTATGTTTTTTCTCCTAGTACCATGAGCTCACGACACTCTGCCAGCCCAGTTGTTTTTACCAGTGCCAGAAGCTCCCCTAAAGAAGAGCTTCATTCTGCTACTTCTCAGCTCGCACCTTCTTTCTCCTCCTCCTCTTCCTCCTCATCTGGTCCTAGGACTTTCTACCCTCGCCAGGGTGCTACTAGCAAGTATCTGATCGGATGGAAAAAGCCAGAAGGGACAATAAACTCAGTGGGGTTTATGGATTCAAGAAAGTAAGATTGTTTTTTGGTTCTCTTGTTTGGTTGTTTGCTTTAATTGTAAAGAAGCATCCGAGACACTTCTCTATATAAAAGAGCGTGAGACTATTTAAAAGAATGTTTAGTCTTCTGTAGAACTCACTCTAGTAATCTAGAGTTCTGCAGTTAGGATTGAGTATTTGATAGTTGGCTCATCTCATTATCTGTTAACTTGTAAAAAATGTTTTTATAATTTCTAGAGAGCTGTATGGATCTCAGTCCTATTAAAGCTTATCTTTCCTTGGGACTTTTTAAAGGTGACTCAAAATACTATTTGATCACATATTAAAAATCCTCTTAACATAGAGCTTGAGTTTTCCTTAAGCCTCTCATCCATGTGGTAATACTGTGCATGCTATGCATTTGCTCTGTGGCACTCCACATTGCCTTTTTAAGACTGCTGCCAGTATCCAGTCTAACTGGCTTAAAGCAAGCCAAGATATCTCTGTCACAATATGAAGCCATCTCATTTAAAAGAGATTGAGGAACAACTTAATAGTGAAAATATTGTTCCTTTAAGTCTAGCATGACTTGGAAAGCAAGTTGCTCAGAAAGCCTATTTCGAAGTAATTTATTCAACCATTCTCCATTTTTATTGGGTCAGGGGCAGTATCCCTAGATGATAACTGGCTGTCAAAGGGACATGGTGGAACTTTGTGAAAACTGCATAATAAAAAGTGTTAAAAGATGAAATAAACCTAGTGTTGTGCTGCTTTTAGGCTCATTTAAGACATATTTTTTTATTTGTACAGAATACACATTATTTTAATAGATTTAGTCCCTTACTGGGAAAATGTATTATGATAACCTTTGAGTGTGTTGCTAGTTGATTTGTTTTAACAAGTTTATTGCTTCAGCAGGTACTCATTAAGATGAGGCTCTACTGCATTAGCAAAACTCCTTCCCTCTTCTGTGCCCCCTACCTAGGTTTTTTTCTTTGACAGTCTTGAGGATGCTATAATTCTTGTTTCATTCATGCCTCCTGCCCCAGGGCTTTGAGACCTGAATGTGTCTGTTCCATTTCATTTAAGACGTCACCAGAGTGATGGCAATGAAATGGCCCACCCTCGGCTGCGTGCTTCAGCAAGAGATCTACGAGCATCACCAAAACGAGCATCCAAGTCCACTGTTGAAGAAGAGCTGAAGAAATTGATAGATCTTGAGAGCCCAACACCTGAATCCCAGAAGAATTTTAAGGTATGTTAAAGAGAGCATCTGTCATCTGCCTGTCTCTTGTCACACTTAAGTGAAATCTGAGAATACCTGAAGAGCAATGCACAGGTAGTAGTACTGTTGTTACAAAGTAGAAATGTGTAAAGTTACACTTCATAAGAATTTGATGATTTAATTTATTGCTGCCTAGGCATATCAACTAATACAGCAAATGCATCACAATTTTTGGAAAAGAGTGAAGGCTGTGAAGCTCTAAGATTTCTGTGTAGAAAATGCCAAGTGCTTTCAAAGCAGTTGAAGCTGAAGCATTCATTCATACATAGCTTACTTGGTTGGACTTTGCATTGGACTCAAGAGTTTCTCAGCATCTTCTCTATTCTCCCCTGTAACAGGAAAATAAAATGCAAGACATTCCCTGAATTCTCATCATGACCAGAAAGTCATCTGTTTCTCATGGTCATTATTTACTAGAAAAACACATTTGGGGAACAGTTTCATTATTACAGTCGCTGCAGTATTATTGCAGTTTTGTGTGCAGATGTAGAGACTAGTATGCCAGAGGGCAAAGACAGTTTAGGACTGCTGGCTCATGGAAAACCCTGTAGTGTTCTCTTGTGCATTTGAATTGTTCTTCTCTGATTGCATCACCACACTGACTTGTTGGCAGTAGTGTGAAACTCTTTGCAAAAAAGCACACTTGTATGCCTCTCTAATCCTGTTACTGCCCAAGGACCAAAATAGAAACTTTTCCTGATGTGTTTCAAAATGTGTACAATAACACAAAAGTGCATATATATACATTAGTTTTTAAAAAATCCATCATTTTGAAGAGAGTGTCTGATTTCTACAGTCTCCATGTACAGTCTGTGCTTAACAGCTCAGGCTCATCATCTGGAGTCCGAAAGGTTTCCACAGCAACTATGCAGAAGAGAGAGCTGCAACTTCTTTCTTTGCTTCTAAAAAACCCAAAGTGTCTTACTAAAACTTGTGCTGGGTTCTGTACAGAGATTTATGTTACCT